GGTACTGATGTTGGATGAGAAAACCTGGCTTACAATCAGCGATCCATCCCATAGGTGTTCAGCTTGGTTGAGGTCAGGGCTCTGTGCAGGAGACTCTAGCTCATCCACCCATCACACCTATATGAGTTTTTTGGACATCCTCTACCAAAGCCATGGCCATTTATATGGAGTTGCTACCTTTTGTGGCTATACCATCCTCCACTCCTCTGGGAAGGCTTTCCACAAGATTTTGAAGTGTCTATAGGACTTTGTACCCATTTGTGAAGTCTGGTACTGATGTTGGATGAGAAAACCTGGCTTACAATCAGCGATCCATCCCATAGGTGTTCAGTAGGGTTAAAGTCAGGGTTCTGTGCAGGACAACAAATAACAGATAAGAGGGTGCAAAACCTCAAGCATTACCTTTAAACGCATTTATTAGAATATGAAGGAATCCATACGGCTATAGACATCAAAGGATATGCAGAACCCGGCACTGTGCAGGACACTCAAGTTCCTCCACATCAAACTGGTCAAACCAATTCTTTATGGAGCTGGCTCTACTCTTCTGGAAGGGCTTCCTAAAAAAATGTAGATTGTGTCTGTGGGAATTTGTGTCCAATCAGCTAAAGGAATGTATAACCCTCCTAGTCAGCTAGGGGGAGCTAGACCTCAGTTGTTAGTGAGGAGGGTTGAGTAGCAGCCTGGGTGTGATAGCTAGCAGGGGCCAAACTTTGGTCAGAGCTGAGAGGCACTGAAGACCAGCCCTCTGGAATTTCCACCTGCTCTAGAACGTTGGAGAAAGGTCTAGAAGCAGTGGGTGGATCTTAGGAGTGGCTGATCTGCACTTTTGAGGGATCCTGGCAAATCCTCAACAGGAGGCTTGGCAAGGGTCCAGGACAACCCTTAAAAGTGATGGAGCCTGCTCAGCTGCAGGAGAATTCGGTGGCAGACAGAGAGAATGTAAGGCTGAATGCAAGAGCCTGGGAGGGGAAGAGAGAGGCTCACCTACTGGCAGTGGAGCTTGGAAGGAAGAAAACTAAGACCCTCACCGGCCCCCAGAGAAAGGACCACATGTGCAGCAGGGAAGGAGTGACCCAGCTAGAATGCCTGGTAGCAGCCACCAATCCATCAACAGCAAAGGAAGAGGACTGAGTGAATAAGCCTCCCTGGGCCATATAATGGAAGGAGCACTCTGGTGGGAAGTCAGATTCATCATCTACCGGGACTCTCTTATTTCTTAAAGTGACAGACACTTGATCCCCTGCTCAGGGATTCCTCCAGACTGCTGGGAAAAGAGGAGGATTTATCTGGGGTCTGGGGTGGTACTATAGGAGATGCTGGCTAGCTCTCCAAAAGAGACTGCTTTGCTGTAGAGACTTCTAAATGGTTCCAGGAAATTATCCTCGGTTTCTAGGTTCCATTGAGCATCCCATACATCCTTACCCTGTCCAAGTTGAAATTCCCCTAATAAAATCCAAAAAACCAAGCTCAGGGGCTGGTTATTGACTCCTGGATACAAGTCTGTGAAGGAAGTCAAACTGGTCAAACCATGTCTTGGATGTCTTGATGATGGATGAGAAGACCTAGCTCATAATTGCTATTCCAATTCATCCCAAAGGTGTTCAGTAGGGTTGAGATGGGGAGGGGATCTGTCAGAGTTCATCCACACCAAACTGGTCAAACCATGTCTTTATGGAGCTGGCTTTGTACATGGGGGACAGTCATGGGGGAACAGAAAAGGGTCTTCACCAAACTGGTACCATAATGTTAGAAGAGCACAATTGTGGGGAGTGTGGGAGCATGCAAGCATAGTTGTGGGGTGGCAGAGTGCAGGTACAGTGGTGATGGGGAGCACCGGGGGTGGTGAGGAGAGAAGCTTACAGTCTCAGTGGTTGGAGCAGGGAGGGAACCCAAGTGCAATGGTGAGAGTGAGGGGGATGGAAGGAGGGGTTCATTCAAAGTGCTGTGGTGTGGTGGTGAAAGCTGAGAGGAGGGTGCAGGTGCAGTGCTGAAAGAATGTGGGTGTGGAGAACGTATTGATGAGACCAGGGATGGAGGTGTGAGAGTGGGTCATTGGACGGGTCAGTGGGTAGGCATGTGAGAAGTGAGGGAGAAGTGCAGGTGCAGCGTTGAAAGGGGATTTAAAGAAGCTCTCTACGCACTGTTGTTGGGCTCATCTGAAGGCCACACCAAGTTTGGAGGTCTTTAGCTATTGACTCTGCAGACAGTTGGCGACTTCTGCGCACTGTGCGCTTCAGCATGCGCTGACCCCGCCCTGTCATGTGACGTGGCCTACCACTTGGTGGCTGAGTGGCTGTTGTTCCCAGTGGCTTCCACTTTGTTATAATCCCACTAACAGTTGAGCGTGGAATATTTAGTAGCCAGGAAATGTCACGGATGGACTTATTGCCCAGGGGGCCACCTATCACGGGACCACGCTTGAAGTCACAGAGCTCCTGAGAGCGACCCATTCTTTCACCAATGTTTGTAGAAGCAGTCTGCATGCCTAGGGGCTTGATTGTATACATCTGTGTCCATGGAGGGGATTGGAACACCTGAATCACATGATATGGAGGGGATTGGAACACCTGAATCACATGATATGGAGGGGATTGGAACACCTGAATCACATGATTGGGAGGGGATTGGAACACCTGAATCACATGATATGGTGGGGATTGGAACACCTGAATCACATGATTGGAAGGAGATTGGAACACCTGAATCACATGATTGGGAGGAGATTGGAACACCTGAATCACATGATTGGGGGGGATTGGAACACCTTAATCACATGATTGGGGGGGGATTGGAACACCTGAATTACATGATATGGAGGGAATTGGAACACCTGAATCACATGATTGGGAGGGGATTGGAACACCTGAATCACAGGATATGGAGGTGATTGGAACACCTGAATCACATTATATGGAGGGGATGGGAACACCTGAATCACACGATTGGGGGGGGATTGGAACACCTGAATCACATGATTGGGAGGAGATTGGAACACCTGAATCACATGATTGGAACACCTGAATCACATGATTGGGAGGGGATTGGAACACCTGAATCACATGATTGGGACACCTGAATCACATGATTGGGACACCTGAATCACATGATTGGAGGGGATTAGAACACCTGAATCACATGATTGGGACACCTGAAACATGACTGGGAGGGGGTTGGAACATCTGAATCACATGATTGGGAGGGGATTGGAACACCTGGATCACATGATATGCAGGGGATTGGAACACCTGGATCACATGATATGGAGGGGATTGGAACACCTGAATCACATGATTGGGAGGGGATTGGAACACCTGGATCACATGATATGGAGGGGATTGGAACACCTGGATCACATGATATGGAGGGGATGGGAACACCTGAATCACATGATTGGGTGGGGATTGGAACACTTGGATCACATGATATGCAGGGGATTGGAACACCTGAATCACATGATATGGAGGGGATTGGAACACCTGAATCACATGATTGGGAGGGGATTGGAACACCTGGATCACATGATATGGAGGGGATTGGAACACCTGAATCACATGATTGGGAAGGGATTGGAACACTTGAATCACATGATTTGGAGGGGATTGGAACACCTGAATCACATGATTGGCAGGGGATTGGAACACCTGGATCACATGATATGGAGGGGATTGGAACACTTGAATCACATGATTTGGAGGGGATTGGAACACCTGAATCACATGATATGGAGGCGATTGGAACACCTGAATCACATGATTGGGAGGGGATTGGAACACCTGAATCACATGATATGCAGGGGATGGGAACACCTGGATCACATGATATGGAGGGGATTGGAACACCTGGATCACATGATATGGAGGGGATTGGAACACCTGGATCACATGATATGCAGGGGATTGGAACACCTGGATCACATGATTGGGAGTGCGGGCCCAATACGTCTGGCAATATAGTGTGTCTATATATGTATGAATTTCTTAATGTGAAACTCTAGGATCAGGCCAAAAAACCTTCTGCTATGTTCTGGAAATCTACAGAAAGAGGGAAGCATTTGCAAAGCAGAGCGGACTGAGCGCCAAGTCCTCGGCATGCACCATATGTCACGCCACATGTGCGTCTTTTTATCAGATGACATGAACACGATGTGAACAGCTGGGCAGTGCTGCGTTCCTGCATTGATAATTGATTGGTTCGCAGGCAGCGGGTTGAGTCCTGATCAGACCCGCATTGAGGCGCTCCGCGCGGAGTGTTGCTTTTGGACGCCTCCATATCTTCTCACTTAAACATGTTCAGTTTATGTTCGAATATTCCCCCGGCGCAAAGTCCGGTGCCAAGAACTGAAACTTAGAACATCTGTCAAAGAAAAATATCTGAAAATGATGACGAAATGCAATATTGTCCATTTATGCTGTATTTGGTTACAAGCTCTCAGCGAGGAAGCGTCCCGACTGATTACCGCGGATATATTTCACGGACCGCGAGGAGCGCTATCGGCTGAAAGTACACTCCAGGCCGAGGTTTGGGTTTTAAAGTGATCTGGGGATATATCCTGTACGGCGAGTTGTAATTTCCACCTACGCACTCACATTCTGCTCCTACCTACTACATTGCTGGTAGTCATCACTGAGCCTCTGCACCTCTCTATGCAATGCAGGCAGATCATGGCTGGTGGGAGGGGCTAGTAGGGTGCTACAGCATCCTGCCTCAGTACTCCTCTCAGGAGCCCTCTGTCCTGTAGCAAGCAGTGGGTGGAGTTATGCAAATATTAAAGTGCCTTAATGGGTGGGTGCTAGTCTGGAGGAGCAGGCGTTCCTCGGCAGGCTGTATTTGCATACAGAACGCCCACATTGGATGCTGAGCCCCCATGATTGTAAGAACAAAATCCAATAAATGAAAGAGGCGGGGCCAGGGACAGTCAGGCTGGGGAGGAAAGGGCTAGATGCTGGATGTCCTCCAGCCAGAAAATGAGGCTCTGTCTGACTTGTTGCAGCTTCTAATGCACATTGTGAGAAACTATCAGTGTCCAGGGGAGGAGCCGGTACACCTGTGCATGGCTGAAGGGGAGGAGCTGGTACACCTGTGCATGACTGAAGGGGAGGAGCCAGAAAACCTGTGCAAGATTGAAGGGGAGGAACCGGTACACCTGTGCCAGACTGGAGGGGAGGAGCTGGTACACCTGTGCAAGACTGAAGGGGAGGAGCCGGTACACCTGTGCAAGACTGAAGGGGAGGAGCTGGTACACCTGTGCAAGACTGAAGGGGAGGAGTTTGTACACCTGTGCAAGATTGAAGGGGAGGAGCCAGTATACCTGTGCATGACTGAAGGGGAGGAGCCAGTACACCTGTGCATGACTGAAGGGGAGGAGCCGGTACACCTGTGTAAGACTGAAGGGGAAGAGCCGATACACCTGTGCATGACTGAAGGGGAGGAGACGGTACACCTGTGCAAGACTGAAGGGGAGGAACCGGTACACCTGTGCAAGACTGGAGGGGAGGAGCTGGTACACCTGTGCAAGACTGAAGGGGAGGAGCCGGTACACCTGTGCAAGACTGAAGGGGAGGAGCTGGTACACCTGTGCAAGACTGAAGGGGAGGAGTTTGTACACCTGTGCAAGATTGAAGGGGAGGAGCCAGTATACCTGTGCATGACTGAAGGGGAGGAGCCAGTACACCTGTGCATGACTGAAGGGGAGGAGCCACTACACCTGTGTAAGACTGAAGGGGAGGAGCCGATACACCTGTGCATGACTGAAGGGGAGGAGCCGGTATACCTGTGCATGACTGAAGGGGAGGAGCCGGTATACCTGTGCATGACTGAAGGAGAGGAGCCAGTATACCTGTGCATGACTGAAGGGGAGGAGGCGGTACACCTGTGCATGACTGAAGGGGAGGAGCCGGTACACTTGTGCAAGACTAGAGGGGAGGAGCCAGAAAACCTGTGCATGACTGAAGGGGAGGAGCCAGTACACCTGTACAAGACTGGAGGGGAGGAGCTGGAACACCTGTGCATGACTGAAGGGGAGGAGCCGGTACACATCTGTGCAAGACTGAAGGGGAGGAGTCTGTACAACTGTGCAAGACTGAAGGGGAGGAGCCATAACACCTGTGCATGACTGAAGGGGAGGAGCCGGTACAACTGTGCAAGACTGAAGGGGAGGAGTCTGTACAACTGTGCAAGACTGAAGGGGAGGGGCCAGTACACCTGTGCAAGACTGGAGGGGAGGAGCTGGTACGCCTGGTCAAGACTGAAGGGGAGGAGCTGGTACACCTGTGCAAGACTGAAGGGGAGGAGTCTGTACACCTGTGCAAGATTGAAGGGGAGGAGTCGGCACACCTGTGCAAGACTGAAGGGGAGGAGTCTTTACAACTGTGCAAGACTGAAGGGGAGGAGCCAGTACAACTGCGCAGGACTGAAAGAAAGCAGGAAGTAAGCTTTAAAAATTGCCATGTGTGAGTGGTCACTGTTAGGGTCTTTAATGTCAGTTTCCCTCGGAGTTGGCTGGGGGCGGGTCCAGGACAACTTGGATTCAGGTTGCACGATGGTGGCCATCAGACTGAGGTCAGTGGCAGAAAAAAATACTGCAGGGGAATTCTCTGGATTGAAGATGAATATTGCAGCAAATGTTGGTTTTGTTATTTTATCTTCTTTCAATAAGGGCCGTCCGGATTTATGACCTACAAATATGAACGCTCAATGGTAATAAATCACCAGGACTGGACGGCTTATACCTCAGAGTCCTCAAAGACCGCAGTCAGGTTATGGCAAGACCACTGTTGCAATTTTATATGGACAACGTACTGACATGAATGGTACCAACAGATTCGCGAAGGGCCATCGTCGTTCCAGTATTTAAAAGAGGGCAGAGACATATACCTGGAAACTACAAGGCAGTCAGTCTAACATCGATAGTATGTAAACTAATGGAGAGAACGAGAAGGGACTATAGCCAAGAATGTGCTGAAGAATCATCAGTAGTAACCAGCATGGATTTACGAAACGTCATTCTTGCCAAACCAATCTGTTCACATTCTACGAGGAAGTGAGCTGCCATCTAGATAAGGGAAGGCCTGTGGATATGGTGGATCTGGATTTTGCAAAAGCATTTGAAACAGTCCCCCCCATAAAAGTTCATTTACAAACTGAGGTCTGTAGGCATGGATCATAGGGTTTGTACGTGGATAAAAAAACTGGTTACATGGGTGCATTCAACGGGTGGTGATTAGTAACGTGTACTCAGACTGGTCTGGGGTGGCAAGTGGGCTACCCCAAGGCTCAGTCCTGGGACCAGCTCTTTCTAAAGTATCCATAAAGGATATAAATGCTGGACTGATGGGAATGTACAATAGATACATAAAGCGCTGCTCAGAGGCGGACTGACAACTCATGGGGCCCCCGGGCAATAGGGGATCATGGGGCCCCTGTGTCCTTGCCCAAACTCAAAAAAACTTATGAAAAAAGTACCAGGGGCATCTCATGGGGCCCCCTACTGACAACGGGCCCTCGGGCACTGCCCGAGTTTCCAAATGGTCAGTCCGTCCCTGGCGCTGCGTAAACGGACGGCACTATATAAGTACCTGAAATAAATAAATCGAATGAACATAACCTTCTTCTGAAATTAGAACTTGGAAAAGAACAGAACCAGCTATTCTGCGCAATAAATTGATATCTAATAAAGTGCAGCGCTAAAATAATAAATAATAAAATATCTCAAAAATATATAAATATAAAAAAAAAATAACAAAATATCTCAAATGAATAAAATATCTCAATAATAAAAAATAAATGATCCCAAAAATATTGTGACAGTTCGTGGTAAAGTGCTTGATACAGGGGTTGATGGTGACTTCAAACTTCAGCGGCGTGCCAAAAGGGTATAGTAAAAATACGCACTAACCAGATGTGTATCTTTAAATACGCATGTATTATGATATAAACAGAGGTCCCCCTCTCAGGATGGAATGGATGGGTTGTTCCGTTTACCGGACTATCCTCCCTCTGGGTGGTATACCGCTAAACACATGTCGCCCTTGGTGGGTGCAGATAGGATCCCACCAGAGGCCCCTTAATGGATGGATGGACGCTTGTCAACCAGTCATGGAACAGCTCCGTCCTCTGGAATGGTGCCACATGTGACTCTGCTACTGTATGATCCGGGGTGGGCTTGCCCACAAGTGTTAAATGGCCGCAGAACCTATGCCAGGTACCTGCGGCATGACGTCACAGCGTAATGGTTCTTTTAACGCGTTTCGTGATAAAGCACTTTTTCAGGGATGGCGACTTTCTGAAGAAGTGCTTTATCACGAAACGCGTTAAAGGAGCCCATACGCCGTGACGTCACATCGCCGGTACCTAGCATAGGTTCAGCGGCCATCTAACACTTGTGAACGAGCCCACCCCGGATGATACAGTGGCAGAGTTACATGTGGCACCATTCCAGAGGAGGGAGCTGTTCCATTACTGGTTGACAAGCGTCCATCCATCCATTAAGGAGGCCTCTGGCAGGATCCTAGCTGCACCCACCAAGGGAGACATGTGTATAGCTGTATACCACCCAGAGGGAGGATAGTCCGGTAAACGGAACAACCCATCCATTCCATCCTGAGAGGGGGACCTCTGGTTATATCATTATACATGCGTATTTAAAGATACGCATCTGGTTAGTGCGTATTTTTACTATACCCTTTTGGCACGCCGCTGAAGTTTGAAGTCACCATCAACCCCTGTATCAAGCACTTTACCACGAACTGTCACAATATTTTTGGGATCATTTATTTTATTATTGAGATATTTTATTCATTTGAGATATTTTATTAGTTATTTTAGCTCTGCACTTTATTAGATATCAGTTTTATGAGGTTCTTACTTGGTTACCTTTATCTGCTATAGCTGGTAGATTTAAAAGCGCTCACTGATTCCATTTTATTGTATTCTTCACAATAAATTTGGATCGTTTAGATATTTTTGATTAACGTTTAATTAGAATGTTTCAGATTCTTTGGAAAAATTCAAATCCGGAAGTAAAAAACGAATAAACGAAATGAAGCAAAATGTTTTCGTTCTGCACATGCCTCACATTGACCACCAATGAAATGGCTGATCCAGGAGTTCCTCAAGACCTTCAAATTATTTTAGGAGTTCCTCTCGGGAACAAAAATGCTGCGATAGACTGATATAAGTAGTTATGCTTCCAGTGTCACTGGTTACCCCTGGATGGATGGATGTGGGGGTGGACTGACAACTCATGGGGCCCCCGGCAATAGGGGATCATGGGGCCCCTGTGTCCTTGCCCAAACTCAAAAAAACCTATGAAAAAGGTACCAGGGGCATCTCATGGGCCCCCTACTGACCCCGGGCCCTCGGGCAGTGCCCGAGTTTCCAAATGGTCAGTCCGCCCCGGGATGGATGGATGGATGCAGGGGTGGACTGACAACTCATGGGGCCCCCTACTGACCCTGGGCCCTCGGGCAGTGCCTGAGTTTCCAAATGGTCAGTCCGCCCCGGGATGGATGGATGGGATGCATAATTTGAAGAACCAGCCAGGTCTGGGACATTTCTTGCATCGAGGCTTCCAGTATATTCCCAAACACGAGCCTTGAAAGTGACTTGTCCTGGCCTTGGGATACAAAACAATTGAGATAATTACTGGGTCTTCGGTTTACAGTCGGAGCGAATGCTCACTGGACAGGAATGCTGCGCTTTGCCTGTTTTAGTTCGTCCTGAAAGGAATGACCTGGAACTCAGAAGGGATGTGGCTACAAGGACTACAAATCTGCCCATAGACAACACAACGACTTATCTGGCATGGAAGCAAATGTAACCCAATCCATGGAGAATATATTTCATGGTTTTTACATGGTGGACGAGATAGACCTCCCTGGTAGAGATACGCCGAGCCGGTCGCACCGAACGCCTCTATATCTGCTGAAGGACACGGCATGGAGACACACAGGACTGGAGGAGACCCTAAAGGAGGACTCCAGCTCTAAAAGAAATAAATCCCCCCGCCCCCCTTTGTGTTCTAATTGGTAAATGTATTTCAACGGCACAACATATCTGGAATGTGTTTGGGCTGTGGGCGTGAAGTGGCGGCACCCGCCTGTCCCAGAGCCCACAGGGCCGAGCTACTAGATGCCCACTGCAAGTGACGCCTACAGGGGGCGCACACGTGTCAACCTGGCCAATACTGAGGAGACATGAACTGACTTCAGTTTGGTGCCGTGGGGGGTACAAAGAATGTCCCTTACATTGAGGGGGTCAGTGGGAAGAATGTCCCTTACATTGGGGGTCAGTGGGTGAATGTCCCTTACATTGGTGGTCAGTGGGAAGAATGTCCCTTACATTGGGGGTCAGTGGGTGAATGTCCCTTACATTGGTGGTCAGTGGGAAGAATGTCCCTTACATTGGGGGTCAGTGGGAAGAATGTCCCTTACATTGGGGGTCAGTGGGAAGAACGTCCCTTACATTGGGGGTCAGTGGGAAGAATGTCCCTTACATTGGGGGTCAGTGGGTGAATGTCCCTTACATTCGTGGTCAGTGGGAAGAATGTCCCTTACATTGGGGGTCAGTGGGAAGAATGTCCCTTACATTGGGGGTCAGTGGAAAGAATGTCCCTTACATTGGGGGGTCAGTGGGAAGAACGTCCCTTACATTGGGAGGTCAGTGGGAAGAATGTCCCTTACATTGGGGGTCAGTGGGAAGAATGTCCCTTACATTGGGGGTCAGTGGGAAGAATGTCCCTTACATTGGGGGTCAGTGGGAAGAATGTCCCTTACATTGGGGGGTCAGTGGGAAGAATGTCCCTTACATTGGGGGTCAGTGGGAAGAATGTCCCTTACATTGGTGATCAGTGGGAAGAATGTCCCTTACGTTGGAGGTCAGTGGGAAGAATGTCCCTTACATTGGGGGTCAGTGGGAAGAATGTCCCTTACATTGGGGGTCAGTGGGAAGAATGTCCCTTACATTGGTGATCAGTGGGAAGAATGTCCCTTACATTGGGGGGTCAGTGGGAAGAATGTCCCTTACATTGGTGATCAGTGGGAAGAATGCCCCTTACATTGGGGGTCAGTGGGAAGAATGTCCCTTACATTGGGGGTCAGTGGGAAGAATGTTCCTTACATTGGGGGTCAGTGGGAAGAATGTCCCTTACATTGGGGGTCAGTGGGAAGAATGTCCCTTACATTGGTGGTCAGTGGGATGAATGTCCCTTACATTGGAGGTCAGTGGGAAGAATGTCCCTTAAATTGGGGGTCAGTGGGAAGAATGTCCCTTACATTGGGGGTCAGTGGGAAGAATGTCCCTTACATTGGGGGTCAGTGGGAAGAATGTCCCTTACATTGGTGATCAGTGGGAAGAATGTCCCTTACATTGGGGGTCAGTGGGAAGAACGTCCCTTACATTGGTGATCAGTGGGAAGAATGTTCCTTACATTGGAGGTCAGTGGGAAGAATGTCCCTTACATTGGGGGTCAGTGGGAAGAATGTTCCTTACATTGGGGGTCAGTGGGAAGAATGTCCCTTACATTGGGGGTCAGTGGGAAGAATGTCCCTTACATTGGGGGTCAGTGGGAAGAATGTCCCTTACATTGGGGGTCAGTGGGAAGAATGTCCCTTACATTGGGGGTCAGTGGGAAGAATGTCCCTTACATTGGGGGTCAGTGGGAAGAATGTCCCTTACATTGGGGGTCAGTGGGAAGAATGTCCCTTACATTGGGGGTCAGTGGGAAGAATGTCCCTTACATTGGGGGTCGGTGGGAAGAATGTCCCTTACATTGGGGGTCGGTGGGAAGAACGTCCCCTTACATTGGTGATCAGTGGGAAGAATGTCCCTTACATTGGGGGTCAGTGGGAAGAATGTCCCTTACATTGGAGGTCAGTGGGAAGAATGTCCCTTACATTGGTGATCAGTGGGAAGAATGTCCCTTACATTGGGGGTCAGTGGGAAGAATGTCCCTTACATTGGTGGTCAGTGGGAAGAATGTCCCTTACATTGGGGGTCAGTGGGAAGAATGTCCCTTACATTGGTGGTCAGTGGGATGAATGTCCCTTACATTGGGGGTCAGTGGGATGAATGTCCCTTACATTGGGGGTCAGTGGGTTGAATGCCCCCATACAATGCCACACTTACACAGAGCTAGAAAGATCATTGGTTTCATGCTGCTGGCTTTGCCAGGTGGTGTTGGCACTGGTACTATGCAGGAAATGGGAGGCGAATCAGCCACAGCAACCTCCGGAGGAACCCTAACAAACACAAAAGAAAACGTGGCTTACAATATGATAAAGATGGAATAATAAATGATCAGAGAAGATCAGTGGCAGCTGCACTCACCAAATCCTCACACCTGATATGAATAAATGAAACCAACAAACTGTGTTGCGCTGCCTTGCCGAAAATCACACAGATCATAAATAATCCATAACAGTACAAAATCATACATTTCACAAAGGTGCAAAACATATAAATGATGAATTAGATCCCAATTTTGTGAAATCCAATGGAAGAGTCCAAATAAATAAAATGCTATAACAGGGGTCCAAGTGAAGTGCAAATACAGACCAAGGAGATGACCCAAGTGATCCGGTAAACTCTTCACCACCACAATGGATGCCACCTTAGAACCAAAACCGCTTACCAGACCTCAGACCTCAAATCGAAGGAGGTCTATCCGGACTTTCGGCAGGAATCCCTAGTTTTGATACGATGAACGCCTCCCATTCTGCTAAGGCAGGGGTCTCCAAACTTTCAAAGCAAAGGGCCAGTTTACTGTCCTTCAAGCTATAGGGGGGCCAGACTGTGGCCAGTGGAAGTAGAAAATGACCCAACATCAGTTCCTCATCCAGAGGCGGACTGACAACTCATGGGGCCCCCGGGCAATAGGGGATCATGGGGCCCCTGTGTCCTTGCCCAAACTCAAAAAACCTATGAAAAAGCTACCAGGGGCATCTCATGGGGCCCCCTACTGACCCTGGGCCCTCGGGCAGTGCCCGAGTTTCCAAATGGTCAGTCCGCCCCTGGCCCCATCATTGGTTTTAATGGGAAGAATAGTGCCCCATTGTGGATATCATTGACATGAATAGTGTCCCCTTCATGGTGTCAATAGGGGGAATGGTGCTGCATCAGTGGTGTCAGATGGCAGAATAGTGCCGCAAGGGCCAGTTAAGGGCAAGCAAAGGGCCACATTTGGTCCCCGGTCTGCAGTTTGGAGACCGTTGCACTAAGGGCACTGTATGGAAATGAATGGATGAGAGGAAGACTGTACTCCTGCCGATTGGATGGATGCAAGGTATGCCTCCACTAGCTCCGCCTCTACATGCTGCCTACACCGCCATCCACATCGATCCACCGCAGCTCATGCCATCTTTCAACACATGTAAGAGGAAGAAGATGGTGCAGCAAGAGGAACAGGATTCATTTAAAATTAGGCATCCACTCACATAAAACGATCGTAAAACAGCATATCATATAAATCGTATCTAGCACCCCGGCGGGCGTGATGACGTCACCGCTGTCATTCTGCCTGTTGTGTTTCGTCCAAATGGATGTCGTCACTGGGGCAACCCTTATGAACTTTATGATTTTGCACTTTTAGGAATTTTTATGATATCTATCAAGTTTGTACTGTTATAAATTGTTAAATTTTTTGGAGTGGCAGCGAAACACAGTGTTGTTTATTTACTAAAGCCGGTTCACTCAGAATCCGGTGCAGCTGTGCGTGGCAGCCAATCAGCTTCTAACCTCAGCTCATTCAATTACGCTTTATCAATAAAACCTGGAAGCTGATTGGTTTCTGTGCAGAATTGAACGAGATTCCGAGTGAGCCAGCTTTAGTAAATGAACCCCGTTTTGTTTTTACTGATCATTTAATAAAACATTAGACTCCCTCCAGAGTTGGGTGTGGCCAGCTCAGTGGATTGCTGGAGGAAAGTCCTGGATTCTTTCTTGGATACACAGAATATAACTGGATATACCATTTATAGGGAAAGTTGATCCCGGGAATATCCGATTGCCTCTCGGGGGATCAGGAAAGAATTTTTTCCCATTCACTAGCAGATTGGATGGTGCTTTGCTGGGTTTTTTGCCTTCCTCTGGATCCACTGTGGGTGGAGGATTATAACTTTTTTTTTGCTATGGTTGAACTGGATGGACTTTTGTCTTTTTTCAGCCAGACTAACTATGTAACTATGTAAATTGCTTTGAACCAGGGGCAGACTGACCATATGGAAACTTGGGCACTGCCTGAGGGCCCAGGGTCAGTAGGGGGCCTCATGAGATGCCCCTGGTACCTATTTCATAGGCTTTTTTGAGTTTGGGCAAGGACACAGGGGCCCCATGATCCCCTATTGCCCTATTTCCCCATGAGTTATCAGTCCGCCCCTGCTTTGGACTCTTGGTTTGGTGCTCCTTCTGTTTTCGGTATAGTTGGATTTGTTTGAGGACCTTCTTTTGGGGATGTTTTCTGATATTTGTGAACAGCTTAAAACAAAAGCCAGTTAGCTTGATCAATAAGTTGGTCTCTGACCACTCTAGACACCATTAATAGAAGATCGAGCCCCTGTATTTGTTTGTACTTCGACCTCCAGGAATGGGGCACACATGCCCCGTAGTGTATTTAGGTTTTGTGCTGCCCTAGGCAACACAAAAATTGTCTGCCCCCACGGACACCAACCAACATCACCCCCCCTTCCCCCTACCACGGAGAGAACCTGACAATGCTGACATTGACCAACAACACCCCTGTCCCCCACCCGGGAGAGCCTTCCACTACCCCCTCCCCCCCGGTGATAGAGAAAAAGACACTCATCTTCACAGCTCCAGACAACCCCAGGAACAAAAGGCAGGCTCAACATACACCATCAAGCAGCCCGCAGCCTCTCTCGGATCCCACCTGGTTCCCATGGCGAGCATGTCCCTCCTTTCATCCCTTCTTCTAAGGGGAGGTGCCCCCCCAAAAAAACTGCCGCCCTAGGCAAGTGCCTTGTTTGCCTTGTGGCAAATACGCCCCTGCACATGCCCACTCCCCAACCTCCCACAATGCAACATGCAGTGTCGAAGTGGCCAATGGTAGGGTCTAGTGTTGTCAAACCCAACAGAAGAAGTTGGATTTTGCCAGGGAAAGAAATACCCGTAGCAAAAAGGAAAAAGAAAATTAGCGCAGGGCAGGCATGACTAGGCCTAGAGTGGGAAGGAGAATAGAAAGGGTTAATTATGTGCCAGGGGGTGTGGAAAAGTATAGCTGGGGGTGCTGGTTGGTAGAGGAAGAGCGTGGGTGGGCTCTGCCGCACCTTAGGGTGGGGTGTCCCGGTGGGGGGGGGGCATCAGTCGGAGCTGGACGTTGGTGAGTGAGCTTCCCTCCCACCCTCCCTATTGTAGGGAGTATTGTGTTCCTCTCGGGGGGAAAAGGGGGGTTATTTCCGTCTTGGGCGGTTGTTGGTCTTTGGAGGCGGTTCTTATCTTGGAGGTACAGATAATGGTGTGGGACCCATCGTTGGTATGGGGGGCCCGGGGACATTCCAGTTAACCAAGGTTTAACTGGAAGGTGGTGGTGCTGCACTGCGGACGGTATGGTTGTCTCCGAGCTGGTTGGTTGCGGCTGGAGGCCTTTGTGTAATATGGTTGTCCGCAGGTGCATTTCAGATCATTTTTGTGGGGTGCCTTCGAAGACCAACAACAACAACTCTGTATGTTTCTGTTATAAGGAATGGTTGGTGTTAAAATGTTTGTTAATAAAAGGCCATGTTGGCCATTTACTCCAAAATTGGTGTCATGTTTTTATTTAAGTATAGCCAAAAGGGGGGGGGGGATTTGGATGACCTATCTCTGGTGCTCTAGTCATGGAACGGTTGGTGAAAGTTTGGCAGCTACCAGAGCAAACGCCTGCCTGCTGCCAACCGATAACATCAAACAAATAAAACTAGCCAGTTCAACTTGCCAGCCAGCTAACCAACAATAGTGGCCAGCAGCC